ATATTAATTACAAATATCATTTCCATTGACATGAATACGCACATAGCATTGAGAAAAACCGCTGACAATAGTTTAGTTCTTTGACGCAATAGTTTGTAAAAAGTGTTGCGAATTATAATCTTTGGTGGTTACATAAGTAAAACTGGCAACAAATTGGTAAAAAGTGGTAAACAGTTAATTTCTACAGGATCAATTTTTACTTGTAACAATTTGGCAGCAAATAAGTGAATACAATTTTGGAATTGTCAAATTAATTTACAAAATAAGTGGGCTTATTTGATTTTTGTTTGACTATTCTTAGTGTCTCAGACAAATTTGGTGTGATATCATTTAATCAAAAGTGGGAAGGAAGATTTGTGTTCAGTAGCTACTCCAACTCTTTTCCATAAAGCGAAATTTAGCACAATGTGGAAAAGTTTAGTGGGACGAATGATGAAAATTAAACTATGTTTCAAAATTCAGGCTCCAATTGATTGTAATCTTTCATAAATTTAACATCCCGCAGAGCTACATATGTAATTTACAACGAGCAATAGAGAAAACTTTGTGTTGAAATCCATGATTCAATAATACAAGGTTGGATAAGTATTGACATTTGAGTCAATCGACTCTCTTGTACGGCTGCATTTGAGGAGGAAAGAGAAAACTGGTAGCCCCCTTTTGTGAAAAGGTAGTAGGAAAAGTAGTCTGGTAGTGCTGAAATCCGGTTTTCCGTTTTTTGTATAAAAATTGAAGTAAATATATAAAGCAGATTTCACTGATCTACATAATAGACAATGAATTCACTTTTTTATGGTATATTAAATATGTTACAGTCACTAACAGAAGTATTCGTAAATTAGTTTTTTCACAATATTCAAAATGTTTTCCATCGTAAATCTTTTTCGCTAATTTTCATTTAAAATATAGCTCGTTTTATACCAAAATATATGATATAAATTATTCTTGCAAACTTTGTACAAAATTCATAAAAATGAATCAATCTTAATAAAGTTTTCATAAAGATTTCAGAATTTATATTCAGAATTTTTAGAAAAATTTTCGGTATGCAGTTTTGTAGCCCGTTCAATTTTAATAATAATAATCTACTATATATTTATGAAAGTATGTATGTATGTACCAGGTTGCAGTCTAAATGGACGGACGGAATTGAACAAACTTATGACAGAGTATTGCCATGACACCTGGGCCTATAATAGGGTGAAAAAAATGGGATCCGACAAGGGGGCGTGGCACCTAACATAAGCGTGGAATTTTTTCTCAGCTATAATTTCGGAACCATAAGTCCCACGAACTTGAAATTTGGTATGCAGACATACCAATGGTAGGTGCTTTATAGGCAGTGGCGCACCTACTTGCGGAGCGCGTTTATGTAACTCGAAGTGACTTTGAGAAGCTTGGGGAATAAACCTAATGAATGGATGCTTTTGAAAATTTTAGTTCATGGAAAAAGTGTGTCAAATTTCACTTGAATTTGAAATTATAGCTGTGTGCTAAGCTCGAAGTATTGTGTTATTTAAGTAGGTCTATCAGTTTTTCGAATTTACTGAATTTTTAAAATTTTGAAATTATGTATTTAATTTTCAATTTTTAGTTTTTTTTTTGGTATATTTTCGAATTTGTATTATTTTAGACAGTTGAAAGTCACAGCAAGTTTGAATATTTTCACAGGTTCAGAAAACAACGAAAATTCCAAAATTTTGAATTTTATAATATTATTAAATTTCTTGAGATTTCTTATTTTTAGGATAATTTCCAAAAGTTCAAAAACTATCGAAATCCGGGAGATTCTAGAAATTTTGGTAAAATGAGAATATTTAGAAATGTACAAAATTATTGAGGTTTTAGAAATGTTTATATTTTCCAAAATTTTGAGAATTTTATTTATCCTAAAATCCATCCTAAAATGTAAAAATGTGAAACATCACAAATTGTCGGAAGATTCTTATGTTCATGTACCCGTGTGTAAAAAATGGAAAATTCTTAGAATTCTAAAAGATAATAACATTTTTGAAAAATTCCAGAATTGTTCCACTTTTCTGAACTTTTCCAAAATTTTGAGAATTTTATTTATCCTAAAATCCATCCTAAAATGTAAAAATGTGAAACATCACAAATTGTCGGAAGATTCTTATGTTCATGTACCCGTGTGTAAAAAATGGAAAATTCTTAGAATTCTAAAAGATAATAACATTTTTGAAAAATTCCAGAATTGTTCCACTTTTCTGAACTTTTCCAAAATTTTGTATTGAGATAACAATGTTTGAGAATTTAAAATTTTTTGAAAATTTTGAAAACATTAACGTCCAAAATTTTTTGAATCTTCAAGAATAACGAACATTTTTTAAATTTTCAAAAACGACGAAATATGAAAACGTTTTCAACATTCGAAAACTTAATCTCGTTTGATCAATTTCGTATATTCGATACTTTTACTTAGAAAAAATTTGTTACAATTCCTACAATTCTCAAAATTTTTCAAAAATAAAAAATTTCTAGAAATCTAGTATTCATCATTATATTGAATTAATTGGATTATTGGGATTTACGAAAATTTCTCAAATTCACAAGTTTTGAAAGTTTAGAAAATTTTGGAATTCCACTCAAGTTTTAAAACGGGGAAACTTCAAGAAATTAAAAACTATCAAAACTCTAGGGGCCTTATTCATAAAAAATAAAGTAGCTTTAAGAAACGTTTATAAATTGAAAAATGTATGAAAACGTCATTTTATAAAGCTGCTTAAACCTACTTTATTTTTTATGAATAAGGCCATAAGAATTTTAAATTGCGGTGATTTTTAAATTTATATACACGATATATGCTGAAAATTTTTCCCCCCCAAGAAATACTGCTGGGTCCGCCCCTGTTATAGGAGGGTATATATAAAGGAGTTTGTAAAAGGGGGCGTGGCCCGTCCCATAGGCGTGGAATTTTTTATCAGCTATAACTTCGGAACCACGAACTTGAAATTTGGTATGCGGACATATCAGTGGTAGGTGCTTATAGGAGTGTATATATAAACGAGTTTTTAAAAGGAGGCGTGGCACATCCCATAGGCGTGGAATTTTTTATCAGCTTTAACTTCGGAACTATAAGCCCGCCTAACTTGAAATTTCGTATGCAGACATATCAATGGTAGGTGCTTACAGGAGGGTATATATAAACGAGTTTGTAAAAGGGGGCTTCAAAACCATAAGTCACATGAAATTTAAATTTGGTATGCAGACATATCTATGGTAGGTGCTTATAGTAAGGTGTATATGAATGAGTTTATAAAAGGGGGCGTGGCACATCCCGTGGGCGTGGATTTTTAATCAGCCATAAATTGAGAACCATAAGTCACATGAACTTGAAATTTGGTATTCAGACATAGGTATCTATGGGAGGTGTTCAGAGTAAGGTATATATAAATGAGTTTGTAAAAGGGGGAAATGCGTATATGTATTAATCTATTAGATAACTCGGATATTGAAAACTGTGTGCGTGTGTTTTTTTTTTAACCTTACCGTCTTTAGATTATTTTGAAATGGAAAGATTAAATCGTTTTTTAATCCTGCGATGCTGTTAAACGAAAAAGTTTCATTCTTAATGAATAAAACTTCTTCCGAATTAAGCATTCAACCAGAAAAGTGCAGCTATACTAAAACAGCTAATCGAATAGGCAGCTAAACGGAATGTACCGTAGTAGACTAATTTTAATTTAGAAATTTGATCATTACCTTAATCCACCTAATATTAATAATGGAACAAGATTTGTAGTACAAGTGATGATCAATATATATTAGGTAAAGCACGATAAAGCTAAAAGTATGGCTCATAAGGATGCCTTAATGTAAACAAAGAAAATAGTTTGTCTCCTTTAAATTATGCTGAACTGAATATTTGTATTACTGTTTTATATTTTTATTTGTTTACCCCGAACGACGTCGGGTGCTCTGCTAGTAGTCAATAAAGTGCAAGTTTCCATCAGCTAAAAATTACTGCTGATTTTTTAGATTTTTTTTTTTTTGTCGGAGGTGTTGCGCATTTTCTTCCATATAAAAATTGATTTTGTTCATGCCTTATATGGAAACAAATGCGCAACACCCTCGACAAAAAAAATTCTAAAAAATCAGCGGTAATCCTTAGCCGCTTGAAACTTGCACTTTATTATACTAAAATTGAACGGGCTACAAAACTGCATACTGGAATAAAAAGTTTGAAATTTTGATGAACATTTTTTTAAGTTTAATTCATTTTTATGAATTTTGTACAAATTTTGCAAGAATCATTTATATGGTTTTTGTTGTAGAATGAGCTACAAATTTAAATGAAAATTGACTAAAAAGATGTATAATGGACAACATTTGGAATATTGTGAAAAAACTTAAATACGAATACTTCTGTGAGTGACTGTATATAGATATTAAATATAAAATAAATGAATAATGAGAGAATTTTATTCACATAAAATTTTGACCAAAGAAAAATCTTATCGACAAATATTCCCAAACATTCAAAATAATCCATGGCTTCATTAAAATTCCATTATATATTATTAAACAAATGAATAGAATTCAAGCAAATCCTTTATTCAAAGGGGCTATGTATATTATAAGACGTATATAAATTAATCCTTTAAGAAATGAGTGGTAGGTTTATATGCTTTGTGATTGGTATTTCGATGAAATTCGATCAGTGATGAATTTTTTATATTTGTTGCATTTAAAAATTACATGTTCACTATCTTAAATTGAATTACATTTGGTTTTTTTTAAATGTGAATGTGTTTTCTATTATTTTCTATTATTGGTTACATTTAAAAGTTATATTATTGAAGATATCGTAATTTAAATAGATTTGGTTTTATTTTAAATATACATTTTTTATAATTCTTTGTACTTTTTCCTCCAATCAGTCTTGTTAATCATTATATTTGTTACATTTAAAAATTATATCTTCAATATCTTTACTTGAATTACATTTTTTTTTTTTTAATGTAAAATTTGTGTAACGTTTTTGTTTTTTGTTTTGAACTCTAGACTTTTTCAACTTATTAAAGCTTACATACAAAACACTGATATAGTATAAAACACTTTCCAGAGGACGACGATGAACTTGTGTTACGATTGGGCTGCACTTGCACTTGCGCTACGACGAAGTTGAGCTTGCGTTAAGGAAAAAGTTGTACCTGAGATCAGATGCGAATCCTGTAACCAATGAGGCTGAACTTGCACGTGGACGGACACACAAAGTGATCCTGACCTGCACATGAAAAAATCTTCATTAATATTTGCACTTTCACTTTTTGGGGTGGTATACTTACTTTTGAGTATGCAACGGCTGCACTTGACCAAATTAATCGCTGCAGTTGCAGTTCCGAGTGGACTGCACCAGTCAAACGTGGACGGACACACAGAGATCCTAGCACGCAAAACTGACTTGCAGCGGCTGCACTTGCTATAAAACGCTAGTTTTTGAATTAAAATTAAAAAAAAAACTCCGATACTCTGCAAAGAAATATGTAAATTATCGTTCAAATTCAAAATAGTTCCATGATTTTTCATTTTTCTGGCATACTTACTAGATTTCGCGCAATAATAAAATTAATTTCCCAGAAATAAAACCAAGTTGTCAAAAGCGAAAAGGTACATATCTACTCCTGATTTTCGAGCTTAAGCGGTTCACAGTGTGCGACTTGCCTGCGCTAGCGCCGTTTAATTGACATTTTCCAAATTAAATTAGATATCTTCATTCGGTTTTTTTACTATACAGCGAAATCTTATAGATTTCAAATCGCAAAGGTCCTCGTCGGCATTTAGCATGGAGACTACTGTTGAAGTACTGCGCTTTCCAGTTTATATACCACCGTTAAGTCCAGTTGAAGTATATCGTCGTTTAAAGTACAAAACCGTGTATAGTCATTCTGCAAAACTGCGTAACTGACATTGGCTGCCAAAAATTGGATTTGCTCACACAAGCTCTTGGCTCAATCCTTATCCATTCGTCCTAAAATACACTAGCCAGAAATGCGATTGTTTTATAAAACAGAGAACCATTTTGAAATATGAGTGTTTTTACTGTCTACAAAATAATTTATGCAACCTCACATACGCGGTTTTGCATTATCTTGATACGCGGTTTTGCATTTTGTTGAAACGCGGTTTTGTACTTTAAACGACGATATAAATAATTGTTGTACTATACTAAGTAATCGCAGTGATAGTCAGAATGTTGGAGACTTTAATCTACCTAATGTTAAGTGGAGCTATGATATGAGCTATGATATTCACCAATTTATACCGTATCAAGCTTGTTCATGTTCAGGCTTTTTCCTTTCTCTTTACAATTGAAGTTAGAAAAGGCAAAAAAGGCAAATATCTTAAAAAAGGCAACATCAAATGTGTACATCACCAGGAATCAGAGAGAGCTAAATCGTCAACATTCTTAATCGAATATACTGTATCTCTTTAGCAGAAAGGCAATTACCATAAAATCCGTTTCCTATAAGTATGGCAAACGAGAGCTTTCAGCTTGGAACTCTTTGTTAAGATTGGTAATTATAGGAAAAATATACGATAGAAATAAAAAATAGCACATCCGTTCTGCCAGGTCTACCGATCGCATACCGTCTACTTCGTAAAAGCAGGAAATAAAATAAATTTTGAAACTATCCCATTGCTAAACTATTCATAACACAACGCTTCCTAATGAAAGCCATCGTGTATGAGATATGCCCAAGATTTTGTAGGGTTTTACCGAACAGTAGTCCTGAAATTCCTTCAGCTCATGTAGGTATCCTCTTTGGCCTGTGGGAAAAGAACTATATATGTTGCGGCACAGTGTATCAATGCTTTTCGCCAATTTTTTACAAGCATAGCTTGAGCAAAGGTGAAGTGAAAATAAATCGGTTTCCGCACTCAATAATGTTTTCAGCCCGCCCAAGTAACCAGCCCTAACATTGGCTCCATCAGTGGCCAAACCAATTGGGTTTCTTATTGATTTGAAATATATATTCTTATAATTAAGAATTTAAAAACTTAATTCAACTATGCGACCAAAATCTTACTTTGCCTACCAACCAAATGAAAAAGAAGCGACCAAATTTGGTCGGACAAGACTAAGAGTGGCAACACTCAACATAAGATACTCGCGCTTCATTATTCTCTCGCAGAGGAAGGTGCTTAAAATTGAAAATTACTGCTAAATAACGAGCAACCTCACTTACAAATATTTAAGCATGCACATTTACATATGCATGAGTACATACAGATATGTATATACATACACACATGAACACTCATGCAAATGATAAGCACATACATACATAGATGTTTAATGTGCATTTCGTTTGCCATCAACACGCCGTTTTTCGTCTGAATCGCCGCTCATTCTCCTCATCCACCAGCTAATGCCCGCCCACTTAAGCAACCCCTTTTGCAAGTTACTCTTTAAACTCGTCGGTTCTATTCGTTTCGATCCGATTCGACCGGGAGACTTTCTCGTGCTTGCATATATTTTCAAACCTAAAATTAAGCAGAGAATAAACTGTTTTGTTTATACGAATGTACCATATGTACATATGTATGTATATACATATTTACGTATGTTTTGTGCCCAACAGATTTCGAAATCGCCAATTTCCACATATCGGTAGCGATTCGGCTGGATCTTTCTCCTTAGCTACTTCTTTGACCCTAGCGTAATGCAGTAATAAGCCGATTGCCACTTTTTGCAGCCAAAGGTAGTGCAACAAATCGTCACTTCGCGGTTTTCGAAAGTGAATTTATAAAAACTTAGGGTCTGATTATGCATACTTCGCATAACTTCGCACAACCATTTGTACCAGTGCACTAAAAGTGTAACTTAAGAAAATGTGAAGCAAAATCTAAACTCAACAGATCGCTAAGTTTTTAAAAGTTCTGCTAATTTCTGGGTAATGGAATACATACAAAATACATACAAAGTACATACGGAATTACAGTTTGAAGTTTATGCGAAGTTGTGCGAAGTTATGCGAAGTATGCATAATCAGACCTTTACCCTTAAAAAATACTGTATTGATAAAATAAGTAGGTTTTGAGAGAGTAGGCTTTCAAAAACGAAAATATTCCGCCCAAAAATACTGATTTTGCCGTTATGAAGCAACATAAAATGATGTTTATCTACATTGATTGATTAAATACATACATATGTAATAGTCAAGGTTGGCAAATCTAAGCAAATGCTTGAAAAGGCTTATGTTGCATATACATATGTATCTGGAAATTTCGTTGGTTTTTGTATATATTCGACTTACGTGCTTATTTTTGCATATTTGACAACATCTCATACATTTTCGGGGGAAAAGTGACGATAGAAATATGTACGTGAAAGAACGCGAATTCATACATATGTTTTTATACTCTTCCCACTGGGAAAATAGGTAAGCACCTTACGAGGTAAGCCATGTTTTCTTTCAGTTTTTAGTACCAAAATTGTCATCATGGCCAATGTCATCTACTAGTAAAGCACAAAATGAACACCTCCAACGACACATTACGTTGTCAGTTGCAAAGTAACGTGCAGCCGAAGTTATCTCCAAGCGCCGAACTACTCCGAGCGACTTCTCTGCATTACACGTAACTTACTTTGTAAAGCGGCTCAGAAGTATGTCTGATACCAAATGTACATTCTAAATTCCTAATTACATAAGGCGGCCATGCCTTTGTAAAAGTAAGGGACGTTCGGCAGGGAAATGGCAATGACTGCCAGGTGAAGAGTAATACTAGGTTCACATATAAGTAGATTATCCTCATTTTCGAGCTTAACACCAAAATCTGTAATTATAACAAGAGATTAGCCATATAAAATTCGTCCCTTGGTAATCTGTAGTTATAAAATAATCTCAGATTTAACCGATAACTTTTCGGTGTCCATCCTAGTTTTATCGACTGTTTTTGCGAAAGAGAGAAGAAATGCCAAATGTAAAAGTAAACAAAAATGTACGCTAGCAAGTAAAAGAGGTTTCTAAAGGTATTTTTAATAAAATGTTAAGTTAAAATATATTTATATTGCTTATTATAGCAGAAAACCGGGATCACGGTGGCACAGAGAAGAAACATAACTTTTCCTTGAAATGTGAGAATAACAAGCACAACAAATTTGACGGCTAATAATCTGAGATTTGCCTGTGTAAACGGGGCGATTAAAAAACGAGCTTTGATCGAGATAATATTGATATGTGAACATAGTTTAAGTTGCTAATAAGGTATTATTACGTGCTCCTAATTCCCACTGGGTTGCTACCCCCTTTTGTGAATTCGCCTAGATACAATGCAAGTATTTATACATATGTATATATATACATACATACTGCTAGAGCTTGCAGAAATCCGGACAGATTCGGCGCTCATTAAGTCGAATTTTGGTTGTTTGATAGTAGGTGTCACAAAGCTTCAAACAAAAGGTTTAACATTGAAAGAAAGTTTGGAAACTAACAATTGTGAAAGAGCAATACCAAATGTTGAACACAAATACATATGTGTATATTCAAAAAAACTTGAAAGTTCTGGCAAATTTTTTTTTAGTTTCACTTTTATTCCAACATATTAGGATTAAAAGAAAAATACTGATAAAAATAAAATTTTTCATAAAAACAGGGTTGAAATCTTGAAATTGCTGCCCGTAGTTTGTTTGTAAGTCATATATGAGTGGCATTGTGCTACTATGATATCACGCCCGAGTAATCATAGCCAACTTATGTACAGTAGTCGAAAAAATTATAGCCGCACCAAATTTTGACAAGTTTTAAAATATTATTTTTGTTGTTATTTAATTTCGGTTAGTTTTTTATAGTTCGTTCTTTACCAACATTCGTATAAATACAAGTTTAAAGGCAGTGTCACACGATTGGGTTTTTGCTAAAATTTGGTGTAAATCGTATCCCACTTGTTTGAACACCCAAAATAATTTTAACTATCCCAATCACGAAAGTTGATTTATTGAAATTTTTCAATAGAACATCGCTGTATTGTACCAATCTTTTGAATGCAAACAAAAATTGTCCCACTTTTTTTTACCAATAACCCAATATAAAAATTTAAAAATCTGTACAAATGTACCAATCGAGTGACACTGCCTTAAAAATTTATGCAATTAAAAAAAAAATTGTACAAATTTTCGTTAAAATTTTTTAATTAAATTCTGAGTATGCAGTTTTGTAGCCCATTGAATTCTAGTAGAATAAAGTACACGTTTCAAATGGCTAAAAATGTCGATTGATTTTTTAGAATTTTTAAAAGTTCGAAATTTGTACGAAAGTTTGTTGAATTTTTTTTAATATTGCACAAATGAGTAATCCACTTGCAAAAAAATAGTAGGTAACATTTGATGATATTTTTTCAGAAAATAGAAAGATTTTGCACTGTATTGTTAGTGGACATGAAACTACTTTAAATACTGGTAAGTTACTCACCAAATACTAAAACTCTAAAAAAATTTAAAAGCGCCTTTGCAAGTGGACTTCTCAAATTTGGAAACATGGATTTCCACGGGTTTTGTTAAAGAACGAACTATATATTTTTTTTAAATATAACAAAAGTTCAATAACAACAAATATAATATGTTAAAACTGGCAAAAAGTGGTTCGGTTATAATGTTTTGACCACTGTAAGTATTTTTTTATATATTTAATTGGACCTTCACATTCTACTTAAAGGAAGTACATAACAAAATTTAAAAAATATATGCCTTTTTAGAAGTTCGTTTTACCTTTTTCAAGTTTAAGTGCCTTAAAAACCTACATTTCTACATTTCGGGGGGGAGGGTGTCAGAACCCCCACATCCCCCCTTAAATACGGCCTTGGCTACTGAGATACATATATGTGATCATAAGTGGGCGGTGCCACGCCCATTTTCCAAAATTTTATCATAAACGTATTTCTTGGTAAAGAATTGTTCCTAACATCAATTTTGAATAAATTAGCTTTAATATTTACTGATTTATCGAATATTTCGTATTTCTCTAAATTACCGTTATATGGGATGTGGGCGTGGTTATTGTCCGAGTTTAAAAATTTTCGGCCATTTGGTATGCTGTACCAAGGCCAACAACTGTGCCAAGTTTGGAAGAAATTGGTGCAGCGGTTACCAAGATATACACATGTAACCATAAGTGGGCGTGGCTACGCCCATTTTCCAAAAATTTATAATATTCTTATTTTTCGTCTAAAAATTATTGTAAATATCAATTTTGAGTGAATTATCTTCAGTAGTTACTAAAATATCGCAGTTTTCGTATTTCTGAAAATTACCGTTATATGGGAGGTAGGCGTGGTTATTGTCCGATTTTGCCCATTTTCAATACCATCCGTCCTACGCCCGAAAGAAGTACACGTACCAAGTTTCGTTAAGATATCTTAATTTTTACTCGAGTTATCGTGTGCACAGACGGACGGACGGACGGACGGACGGACGGACAGACAGTCACCGCTTAATCGATTTCTCTTTTCATTCTGATCATTTATGTATACATTTGTCTATATCTATCTCGATTCGTTTTGCCTGTTACAAACAACTGTTATGTGACCAAAGTTATAATACCCTTGTGCACAAGTGCGCTCGGGTATAAATATGTATTATTTATTGGCTCCATAACTAAGAGTGAAGATGTATCGAAGTATTCCAAAGCAGAATTAAGTTTATTAAAATTTTTCCAAATACATCTACGGACGTGGAAAGGAGTTTTTCGAATTATTAAATAATTTTAAATGACCATAGGAGTTAATTTTCGATTGAAAACACTGGTTTATAGCAAAAATGTTCAATGGATACCACCATCCAATTCCCATAAAGAATTGTTCGCTGATTCCGAAAATCGACTTAATTTTTTATTCTATGGATACGTTTTCGAGATATTTGCAATTCACCGTTATTCAGCTTAAAACAAAAAGTGGGTTCACTTAATCACGTCTATCTTACGAGCCAATTTACCAATCTTAAAATCAGATATGTCAAATCAAAGTTCCATTTAATGACATTCGTTGTTGTTGTTACCATTTGACTTTTAATAAAATTATGACATTTCATAAAATTCATGCTACCTGATCAACAGAAGTAATACATTCTTTTAAAAGCAGAAGATTTCATCAGTCCACTGAAAGATATAGAATATGATGGCCTTGAGAATTTGAAATAATTTCGAAAATGGTGTTGTCGAAGCAAGGTTTCAGAACGCATGAAGAAAGTGATCAAAATAGTCATTCTTATTATGTTAATTGTTTATCGGAGGGCGGTCTGCATAAGTCAACTTCCAGTTTCTTGCATATATAGGAAATTTTAAATTCAAAATTTGTTGAAGTCCATGGTTACAAAGCCATATTTTTTGCATCTGATCTGATGAGAAATTTAAAAGTAATTTTGGTCCAAAATATTATAAAAATGTTTTGTTTTGAAAGAACTAGATTTTTAAATAGCAAGATTTCATTCAAAATAAGAAAATGGAAAAATAACATAATGCGCTCGTGTTTTTTATTATAAAATAAAAAGAACAATTACGATAAAGTCTCCTTTAACAGTTTATATTTTAAATATTTTGAATAAAGAAGGTGCGAACCACGTAAGTAAAAAAAAAGTACCAAGCACTGATAATGGTTTTTGATTTGAAATGTTACTACATTGGTATAAATATGGGAAAGAAAATACTCCGACTTATTGTATTAATATTATCAAAATGGCAAGGCCGTTGTTAATACTCACAATTTGTGAAACTTCCGTCAGAAGTTGTTTATTGAAACTACCTACATACATCACTTTTTGATAGGTCTGATAGTTTCTGACAAATGAATTAATCAGTTTAGATTCTTTGTTTTTTGATGAAAATATGAAAAGAAACACTTTAACAAAGGAAAAATTTACAAAATAACAGGTTCGGGCTAAAGCCCGTTCAAAATCAAGTTACTAATGAAGAAAATCGAAGTATAAATAAAGAAGTAATGAGTGGTCAAATGAAAATGCGCGAAGATTTATTGTGTGAAATATCAGCATAAAAGCGTGCTACTTAGGTGTACATGGCGTATGAGTAATATTATTTCCTGCTCATTTCTCATACAAAAAATCTTGCGCATTTTCATTTGGTCACTCATTACTTCTTTATTTATCCATCGATTTTCTTCATTAGTAACTTGATTTGTTTGTAACAGAACAGGCTATAGCACAACTGCAAAAATTTTACACAGAACCTGTTAGTTTTTTAACTTTTCTCCTGTTAATATTTGTTTTTTTTATTTTTTTCATAAAAAAAATCTGGAATGATTATGGTATTGGAGAACAAAAACCAAATTAAAATTAGTAAGCCAGTGTAATTTGAAAAAGCATGTTGTTCTATACTGTAATTCCGATATTATTGAATAAAAATATTGAAAAAATTAAATAAACGAATAAAGTGGATTTGGACTAGAAACGTTTACTAAGGGTTAGCGAAATAGCTCAAATTTTACTAGTTCCTTTTACTGCAGGGTATGCATGTACGTATGTAAATATGTATATGTATATCTAAGTTTCTTTGGGTTGTAGTTATGTATGTACTACGAGAGTAATAAAGGGTGAAGATGGCAAAAAAATGTATAAATGAGCTGCGCGGAAGTGAAAAAAAGTAAAAAAATTTAACTGAGACCAGTGTTGCCCGAACTTTTTGGACCAACCGGCTAAAAACGGTTAAACTGTTTTAACTAAATTTCACATGATTTATTTAAATAAATCACGAGTAGAAAGACTAGTTCTTGGAAAGAAGTTGCAAATTCAAGCTGGAAAAATTTTTCCAGCAAGAAATTGCAATTAGGGAAATCATGATTGTGGAACATGGTTGCATTTTTTGCGACGATAATTTGAACAGTTCGATAAGTTTAAAAAATTACAAACTTGAGCGAAAATGTAAGTAAGTACTTGTTTACTTAATTAATTTAGTTAATTCCAATGGCGCGTATTCATAGTCCAGCAACTAAGTCGAAACTAACAAAGTTGCAACTTAAATTTAAGTACCAACGTAAAATTTACCTCTATTCATAGTCGCATTTCAGACTTCTACTAAGTAGTTTCGACTTAGTTTACGATATAGCAAAACGAGTGAGAAAATGTATCGATTTTTCTTTACTATATTTTGGAAAAATTACATTTTTATTAAATAATATCAAGTTTGATCATCCGTTTATGTAATTTTTATTTTAATTGCATGATTATGCAAAAGAATAAGGTATCATTTTCTTGTTATTTGTGTGAAATAGCCAGAACAACCGTAGTGATGTGAAGTCGATGTTTATCGAAAGCATGCTGTGGAACATAAAATTGTATATATCTAAATGTTATGCACAAATTTACTTAAAAAGAACTAGCGTGAAACTGACTTATTTTTTGAAAATGTATCTAAATTATTCCAATTATAAAATTGTGATGTAGCTTTATTCGAATTGTAATACGCATTTAATTTCACCTTCCGATTAAAATGGATCGATCTTTGTAAATTTTAATTGGAGTTTATTCAATATTATCAAAATCACCCTCTTCCAACTTAATTTTTACATATTTCGTCTGTTTTCCCTTAATTTGATAAAATACTTCTTCCTAGTTACGACTTAGTTATTATTACTTAGTTGCAGCTGCAGCCGAAACTAAAATTTAAGTTGGTACTTAGCCAGAAAAGTCGAAACTAAGGCGACTATGAATAGTTTTAGTTGTGACTTAGAATAGTTTCGACTTAGTTGAGTACTAAATATGACTATGAATATGCGCCAATGATTTGAAAGGTACTGGGCTGAAAAAACTGTATTCGTAATCGGAATGCAATCTCAACAAGAGTCGATATAGGAAACTCGACAGTTACTACGACAAAGAAACTGAAACGCATGTTGAAGAAAGCCGGACTAACAAGAAATAAACATGCAGATCCTGTTTTTTGCCCCTCTGAAAGAATTTTAAAAATTCTATACAAATTTCTTATGTTTGAAATGCAACCGTGGACACTAGCTGGCAGGGAAACTTGCAAATTATTAATAGTTTTTCAGTATGGCATCTGCAATGAATGCAGGTGGACATATGCATACTCAATTGTTGTAAATTTTGGATTTTTTTTCATGAAATTTGGGCACTGGTAACGTTACACAAAACACTGGTCACGTTACACGTACGGTTCGCTTGGGCAAGGTTTAAGGCTGGTACGCAGCACTCAACAAAACGGTAAAGAAAAAAATTGCCTTTATTTCGAGTGTGTGCCCAAGGAATTTCGACAACTGATACTTCACCAGCCTGTTGCCTCGCTCTTTCCTCAAGAAATAATGGAACGGGCATATATTTCTGTTGCAAGCATGGGTTGCCTTGTGCTCTTTTTTCACAAAAAAACTTTAGAAAACCGTAGTAGAAAGCGTAGCAAATTTCTTAAGAAAATTAAATAAAAATTAAATTAAAATAAGAAATAAAAAAATTTTTTTAGCCATTTCTTGTACGTCATTTTATATGGAGTTTTTGCTTTTTTTTGCTTTTCTTGAGAGCTGCATACTGGCCTTTAACCAAAAGGCTTTGCGCATAAATTTTTTCATCACATTCTTATTCTGTCATCATAAAAAAAGCTAAAATTGGAAATCTTCTATTGAAGGATTAAGAAATATAACTCGATTATCCTTAGAAATTATAACTAGGTCAAAAATGATTAGTACACTAAAATTTTTGACCGGAAAATCTTCATATTATGGTCGCAAATAATATTTATTTAACTTTACTGTAAAAACCACATATGTTTAATAACTTAAAATAGGCGTAAGTTCATCTAAAGTACCATTTATTTAAGCATAATAGTTGTCAAAATTTAGTAGTATAACGCTCAATTCGCAATTGTACACGCAAACACTTTCTTAAATATGTCTTATTAATTATTGCTAAAATGAAATGAGAATCGTTACCAAGTCATTAAAACTTTTAAATAAAAAGAAAATCACTGGCCACGTTACATTTATTTATTAGGTAATTGTACAACGAACTCAGCTAAGATTTATTTTTTCCATATGACGTCAGTAAAACATCGCCAATACTAAGAAATCATGTTAAATATCCTTTTGGAAAGGGTACTTAAGTATACGAAAAACAACTTTTTTAGTTTTTCACTGACTACGTTACACCGGAAATTTGTGGTACATTTCATTACGACTTAATAGGAGTTCTAAACAACTTTTTCGCTAACTTAGAACGTATCCTGTTAAACTAATTTATTTTCTATCGGTCAGAACTTTATCAGCCAAAATAAATCAAGGAAAGCTAATATTTTTGTATCTCTCCTGGTTGTAGTATTGAAAACTGTTTTTAGGTTCGTGAAAAATCTTTCGACAAGAGGAGTAAAATATTTAACATAACATGCTTGAAATTGATAAGAATAAGTGTCAGAAGCAGCTGACAGACATAGTGAATACCAATAATCACCAATATGTACAATATTTGAAAGAAAGAAAAAATCGGACTGGTTTACTTTTCTGTGGAATCGACCACATGTGTACATAGTGCTTGAAAATATCAATTTTTCCCTTACCTTAAACCCCGCTACGGCCTTCTTTAGAAAAAATATATTCGTTTAAAATAAAAATAAGCGATATCGGCCCAATTTTATATAACCCTGCCTGACATGAAAATTTTCTCTGCGATAAGGGTAGTAGCCATTTCTAACAGATTTTAGATCGCTTAAACATATATATTTGAATTTTAAGAACACAAGGCAAATAACAAAATCGGCTAAAAACTGCTAATTATTTTTTACAAAACGGCTAACAAATCGGCTGCCGGCTAAATCGAAATTTCTCCGGCTGTTTGCTATCGCAACTGGCTAAATCTAGCCGGAAAATGTCTGAAATGGCAACACTGACTGAGACGTGTACGAATGCATCTATGTATGTATGTAAATAAATTATTTTCATACATACATACATAAGTACATATTTACATACATGAAAAGACGTTGAAATAGTTTATGTGCACGCATACCCAATTTGCCAAACGACTTGGAATCGAAGTCGATTCCGATGAACTCGGTCAGCAGATGAAAAGCACAGTTCGCCACATAGTGAACCGACTCCATACAAACAATGCAGAAAAATAGGAATGTTCTGAATTTGTTGAAACTTTGCTCCTAAAAGGATTATATCACAGTAATTTCAAAAACGAAATCGTTTTTTGCACCGGTTAGCAATTTTGAAAAAACCGGGTTCTTTTACTTTTTGCTGGTAAAATAAGTCATGATTATTGTTGACATGTAACACATAAAGAAAAAGCCCCAAATTTACTAAAATTAACAATATAAAAATAAAGTATTATTTGATTGAATATTCATTGTGTATTATGCATCAGTGTAAAAACTTAAATCCTCAGAGGAGGAACTGATAAGTGATGCAAATTGTTTTATGCTATTATATATACATATTAGGGATGCCAATCCCGGGATCCCGGTGTTTTGGGGTTTCGAAAATCCCGAGATTTGCTTGCATTAATCCCGGAATTCTGAAAAATTAGAAATATCGAATGATAGTAAGAACTTGTTTGTGAATTTGAAGTATGATTTTTGTAAAATGCCATTTTGACTACAATTAAAAAAAAACTTGACACTGTACTTTTAAAATTGCAGTCTGGGACTTTTTTTGAAGGAGATTTTAATCAATGTACTCATAGCGTCGCTAATGTAAACGAAACAGAAAGCTTTAAGTAAAAGTTACATTATTTTTTTTTTAAATCAATCTAATCAAACATCCTCACGTCGAAAAACTTATAACACCGTGCAACAGTCAATTTTACACACGAAAAAATCAATGTATTATTCACAAAACTAGGGGCCAAATATAGTAAAACTGCGTTTTTAGGATTTTTTTTAAAGGACTTTGAAATTTCTAGAATATGATTGACTAAAAAAAAATTATTCAAAAGATTCGGTGCATTGTAGAATAACAATATGGGTATCAATTAAAAGGAAAAATTCTGTAGACTAGAAAAAAAATTATTTTTGGGTGCAGCAGGACGAATAAGTATTGAAAGTGTTCTTCAAAAACTTTATCCTTGAATATCCTTGGAAATTTCCAATACTTATTTTGGAAAAAAATATATGTCAACGACTAGCTACCACATTAACTACCACATCCTCGAATTTCGTCCTTCTAACTTTATTAGTCTTGGATAAAAAAAAATGTACACTTCTCTTTATAAGATATTGATAGTTACAATATACATAAATGGAGATACTGAAATCATTATTATGGAACCATGTATGCGTTCTAAAAGAACAAACTGATCGTATGATGTACAGTTTAAGTAATTTAATTGTTTTGTATATAAGGGCCAGCCTTTCACCTAAGGAGGCAGGAGTTTATATGGAGGTAAAAAATGTTTTTAATTAAATTTAATATTTTTTGTGTATATAAATAGAAATTGTTGGGTTTAAGAAAGTATAAGTTTTCAGGTATACTTTACAATATACCAATTTTTTAAAAATCAGTTTGTAATTTTTTTGTTTAAAATATATTTTTTTATAAAAACAAGGTATTTTTTGCTTTTAAGTGTTTTTTCTGAAATTTTTATATACGAAGTATACAAATATGCATACAAGAAGCAAGGGGGTTTATTCGCCTTTACAACAAAACCAAATTTTTAAAAATCGGTTAGTAATTTTTTTGTTAATTTTTTTTTTATTATTGAAAAAAGTAACTTCCCTTTTAAGTCTTTTTTCTCAAATTTGTATATGCAAAGTATACAAATACGCATATCAGAAGAAAGAAGGTTTGATTGCTTTTTTGTTTAAGATATTTGATTTTATAAAAAAAGGTATTTTTTCCTTTAATGTTTTTTCTCACATTTTTATATTCGGAGGCTAACTTCGAAAAACGGAGAAATTACTTTTTTTTACCTATGACTCAATCTCTTAAAAAAATGTGTTTGGTCCAATACCCAGCCGCATGCTGTACAGTGGAATGATTCCAGTAACTTCATTTATGTATATTGTAACTATCAATATCTTATAACAAGAAGTTTAAATTTTTTTTATCTAAAACTAATAAAGTTAGAGGACTAAATTCGAGGAGGTGGTAGTTTACATATTAGTCCTTGACATATATATATTTTTTTATACCCGAGCGCACTTGTGCACAAGGGTATTATAACTTTGTTCACATAACGGTTGTTTGTAACAGGCAAAACGAATCAAATGTATACATAAATGATCAGAATGAAAAGAGAAATCGATTAAGCGGTGACTGTCTGTCCGTCCGTCCGTCCGTCTGTCCGTCCGTCTGTGCACACGATAACTCGAGTAAAAATTAAGATATCTTAACGAAACTTGGTACGTGTACTTCTTTCGGGCGTAGGACGGATGGTATTGAAAATGGGCAAAATCGGACAATAACCACGCCTACCTCCCATATAACGGTAATTTTCAGAAATACGAAAACTGCGATATTTTAGTAACTACTGAAGATAATTCACTCAAAATTGATATTTATAATAAATTTTAGACGAAAAATAATAATATTAACATTTTTTTGAAACTGGGCGTAGCCACGCCCACTTATGGTTACATGTGTATATCTTGGCAACCGCTGCATCAATTCCAAACTTGGCACAGTTGTTGGCCCTGGTACAGAAAATTTTTAAAATCGGACAATAACCACGCCCACATCCCATATAACGGTAATTTCGAGAAATACGAAATCCTCGATAAATCAGTAAATATTAAAGCTAATTTATTCAAAATGATGGTTGCAACAATTATTTTCAGGAAATACGTTTATGATAAAATTTTGGAAAATGGGCGTGGCACCGCCCACTTATGATCACGTATATGTATCTCGCTAACCGTTCTAGCAATTTGTACCAAACTCGGTATGGTTATTGTGCTTGCCACATAAAAGTAAACCATTGAAAATTGTTGAAATCGGACTAAAATTACGGCCGCTTTTCATATAACGGTAAATTTCAGAAATGCTTGAAATTTCAATATTTTGAAATTTAAGGACGCTAGTTTACTTAAAGTTTATACACGCCGGCTTATCATGTAGCGGTAGCTTTCGGAAAGGTGGAAAACATATATTTAATACTTGCGCCGGGTATTTAATGTTCGGCTCCGCCCGAACTTAGACTTTCTTACTTGTTTTTAAATAAATACTGGAAATTTCCAAGGATATTCAAAGATAAAGTTTTAAAAGGACATTTTTAACACTTATTCGTCCTGGTACACAAAAAAAATAATTTTTTTTCAGTTATACAGAATTTTTCCTTTTAATTGATATTCATACTGTTACTCTACAATGCACCAAATCTTTTAAATAATTTTTTATTCAGTATAATACGCAGATATACTATATTTGGCTCCAAGTTTTCTGAATATATTACTTTTTTCATGTGTTTTTAAAAATTTTGGTTTTTTATCGCACGGTGTAATTTATCCGACGTGCTGGAAGAAGTTAAAATATTTTATAATGGAGGAGATAGGGCACAAAGAAAAGGGATGTGTGCTTTTAACCAGACCCACCTAAAACATGTATTTCGACCTGCTGAATCCGAATCTGAATTTCGAGTAAATTGAAAAAAAATGGCAAAAATTCGCCATTTCTTTATGGAGTAGAATATTTAAACTTGTTTAGAGAATCTGTTTTTGCATGTTTTTGATTAATGTTTTTTATTAATCGGTACTTGCAAAAGTACCTGGTTTATACATTCTTATACAGTGCACTCGCGGTAACTCGAATACCCGCAAAGTCAAACAACGTGCTAACTCGAACACTTTTATTTCTCTATTGACTACTTTATAACTTGAACAAATGTAAAAAGCGCTGAAACTCGAACAAAATCTTGATACAATACACTGCGAATACAAAAATCCAAATTAATCCGTACACACATTCTTTTCAATCATGTACATCTGTTATAGAGTCCGACCGGTT